CCAATGGCTGCCGGAGGGTGCGCGGCCAAAAAACTGGAGAATCAATGTCCTGCACCAGGGAAGCCAAACCTGCCCCACGTGGGCCCCGCTGCTTCCGCTCCAGCCCTCTTGTACCCTCCTCCGATGGCCCCCCCAATCACCATGAGGCCCCACCTTGGAGAAGGATCCCAGCAACAGGGCAGATCTGGGCCCTGAAGGCCAGCCCCCCCTTCCTGGGGGCTTCTCTGGGGCTTGGAGCAGCCGGGACAGAAGCAAAGCCCTTGCCCAAGCCAACCACAGAACCCGCAGTCCCTCCCCCCACCCCAATCTCATCCACAGACTGAAAAGAGGCCAATGAACAGCTTGGGGCAGCAAGACCCCTGGGGACCCCTTCCCCAGCTCACAGGGGCCACTTCTCGCCTGATCCTTATTCCCTCTAAGCCGAGTCAGTGTGAGCCAGCTCAGTTTTTTAGCCTCCGGCTCACACATCTTTGTCCTCGCTCAGGAAGGACGGCTCCAGAGCAAGCCAATTCGTGCAGCAGCCAAATCGCTGGCTCACAGCTTTAATGCCCGTAGCTCACAAAGCAGAATCTTTGCGCACAAGACTCCACAGCTTAGAGGGAGCATTGCTCCTGATCCCACCCCCGCCCCAGTACAGGCCTTGCCCATGTGGAAGGGCTGGCAGGAACTGTGTCCGGAGGCACAAGCATCCCCATTTCACCCAGCCCCTCTATACCCATCTGGGTCTGTGGACCAAACACCCCAGCCAGAAGGCACCAGCAAGATGCCCAACAGTACCACTGTCTCCCTTCCCCCAGAAACAGAGTCCACGCTAGCGAACACCCCCCCACACAGACACATGCGCTCTGAGGCTCACGCCAAAGTTCCGGTGGGCAAGAGCCACGCTCGCTCAGAGACAAGGAGCCCCCAGTCAGGTAACGGAGTCTTAGAAATACAACAGAAACGTGGATATCACACGCCAAGAAGGGGAAGGTCCCACATTTGTGCCTGTTCCCAGATTTCTTCATGGGGCCTCGGCAGTTAGGGGTGCCTCTCATTGTAGGGAGAGACAACTTTGCCACCAAAATCTTAAAATTCACCCTTAGGTACTTACTCCTTTACACAGAGAGTGATTAAAATGTGGACTTCACTGTCAAAGGGATGCAGTGGCGGCCACAGGCAGAGATGGCTTGAAAAGGAAACCGGACAGATTCATGGGGGAGGAGTCCCTCAGCAGCTACGAGCCACGGTGACTAAAGAGAACCTCCACAGTTAGAGGCAGTCAACCTCTGAATCCCAGTGCCAGGAGGCTACATCAGGGGAAGGCCTCAACCGCTCTGCCCCATTGTTGGCCCTCCAGAGGAACTGGTTGGCCGCTGTGTGAGACGGGAGGCTGGACTAGATGGACCCTCACTGGTCTGACCCAGCAGGGCTCTTCTGATGTTCTTATGAAGGCCTCAGCCTCTCTGCCCTGTTGTTGGCCCTCCAGAGGAACTGGCTGGCCACTGTGTGAGACAGGAGACTGGACTAGATGGACCCTCACTGGTCTGATCCAGCAGGGCTCTTCTGGTGTTCTTCTCAGGGGAAGGCCTCGGCCTCTCTGCCCTGTTGCTGGCCCTCCAGAGGAACTGGCTGGCCCCTGTGTGAGACGGGAGGCTGGACTAGATGGACCCTCACTGGTCTGATCCAGCAGGGCTCTTCTGAGGTTCTTCTCAGGGGAAGGCCTTGGCTACTCTGCCCTGTTGCTGGCCCTCCAGAGGAATCGGTTGATCCACTGTGTGAGACGGGGGTCTGGTCCAAGATGGACCTTCACTGGTCTGATCCAGCAGGGCTCTTCTGGTGTTCTTCTCAGGGGAAGGCCTCGGCCTCTCTGCCCTGTTGCTGGCCCTCCGGAGGGACTGGCTGGCCCCTGTGTGAGACGGGAGGCTGGACTAGATGGACCCTCCCTGGTCTGACCCAGCAGGGCTCTTCTGGTGTTCTTCTCAGGGGAAGGCCTCGGCCTCTCTGCCCTGTTGCTGGCCCTCCGGAGGGACTGGCTGGCCCCTGTGTGAGACGGGAGGCTGGACTAGATGGACCCTCCCTGGTCTGACCCAGCAGGGCTCTTCTGGTGTTCTTCTCAGGGGAAGGCCTCGGCCTCTCTGCCCTGTTGCTGGCCCTCCGGAGGGACTGGCTGGCCCCTGTGTGAGACGGGAGGCTGGACTAGATGGACCCTCACTGGTCTGACCCAGCAGGGCTCTTCTGATGTTCTTATGAAAGCCCTCCAGAGGGACTGTGTCAGACGAGACAGACTGGGTCCGATTTAGCAGGTCTCTTACATCCTTACTCTCTGGTCAGAGACCTGTACAGAGTCAAAGATGGTGGCCAACACACAGGTGCAGGGCCTGTCCTGGGCTCAACACCCATCATCCTCCACCGGGGCTCAACGGAAGAGCTTCTGCTTGGCACGCAGAAGAAGGTCCCCGGTTCAACCCCCGGCAGCATCTCCCGTTAAAAGGAGCAGGCAGGAGGTGATGTGAAAGACCTCCGCCTGAGACCCTGGAGAGCGGCTGCCAGTCTGAGTAAACAACACCGACTTCGATGGACTAACAATCTGATTCAACAGAAGGCAGCTCCAGAGGTGTGTATGGCCATCCAAACCCAGCATCCTCAAGGGGGGGGGTGGATTTCCCCACCAGCGTTGTGGCAGTTGCGGCAACTGAGTAGGAGGGGACTCCCAGCCCACCCCACCCTCAGGAAGTTCTAAAAAATCACTTTTCCCCACCTAAACTTCAAAAAATGGGGTGGGCGGGTGGAGAAAGATTTGCGCCAATTGTGAGTTTGATGGGGGGGGGGAACCAGTTGCCATCCGGTTCCCCTTCCCTTATCTCTGCAAATGCAGGACTGGGAACACATGTTTCCTGAGGCAAGGGCAGGGCAGGTCCTATCCTTGGAAGGAAGGAAGGAAGGAAGAAATTGGATTTCTACCCCGCCCTTCATTCGGAGTCTCAGAGCAGCTTACAAACTCCTTTCCCCTCCCCACAACAGGCACCCTGTGAGGTGGGTGTGGCTGAGAGAGTTCTTTTTAGGACTGCTCCTGAGAGAACAGCTCTGAAAAGAACTACGGCTTGCCCAAGGTCATCCAGCAGGTGCAAGTGGAGGCGTGGGGAATCAAACCTGGTTCTCCCAGATTAGAGTCCGCGCACTTCACCACGACACCAAGGAAGGGCCAGCCTAGCATGCATTCCTG